AATATTAAAGTACGCAATTTTTAAAGTTTTCACTTTTCACTATATCGTTGCTCGCTAAGCTACATCCCAACCCTATGTATTGCAATTAAGAGTATATTCTTTGAGTCAATCGTTGTCTGAGTTTATATATATAGAGAACTATCTGCCTTTAATTAGTCACCGTGGTCTGCTATATTGGAGTTTAAATTGTGGGTTGAAAATTGATGATCTTTTTTTTTTCAGGAAAATGATTAGATTTGTCAGTTACACTCTTACAGACAATAGAAAATCAAATGTTGGATGACTTTTTTTTTTTTTTTTTTTTGTAAACCCATATGTTAGATGTTAAAGATTTTTGTTGTTGTTTTAGTCACGATTTTATTTAGGCGTTTCATTTAATAATGGTTAAGGTAACACTATATTTCCATTTTTCAATCAATAATATACATTATTATGGTACTAGTACAAATCACTAAGCTACGTACGTATCATTATTATATATTGTCTCTTCTTTTTTTAGTATTCTTTTATATTCGTTCACATTAATTAAAAACAACAACGTAAGTACTTTAATTTACTTTTAATTTCTAAATAATTACTACTCTGTAGTTTTATATCTCTAATCGATAAACCAAAACACAAATAAAATTTTATCACATCTTATGAAACTAATGTAGCATGCATATGATTTACTTTGACATCAAAATTCAAATTCAATAGTCAAAAATTTGCTATTTGATTTACTGAAAATATGGATGTAAGCTTAGATAATTATATTATTTATGTAAAAAAATTATTCTATGGGTCCTGAACTATTAAAAAAAAGATTATTATGATTGATGATGTAATAAAAATGAATAATATATTTGTATAAAGACGTGTTCTCGAATAAGATGAAATGGAGATTTAAAGCAAAGTTAAAGAAGCCGGAGGGGTCAACACATTTGCAATCAATACATGATGTTAGTTAGCCAGCCGGGTTTTCGATGTAATCGACTTTTAATAAGTCGGTTAGGAAATTACACGTCAAATCATATACTCCCCTATTGTTTTGTTTTTTTTTAAGGCTCGAGTATTTATTTTATTTAATGAAATGGTCCTATAGTATATATAATCATTTTGAGCAAAAAAAAAAAATATGAAATATTTCACCTACATGTCAACGAAACATTATAGTTTCCCAAGATTATATTGTAAATCACATTTATTAGACGGCACGAGGCGTATGCCAAATCTCCCAACATCCACATTCGTAGCCATTTTAACCTATAAGAGATGAAACCTTTTTTTCTATTCCCACTCGGTTTATTGTTTATACTTTATCGACATATGACGAATTAAAGTAATTAATCTGTTAACTATATTCAGTACACGAACTGCTAACCATCATCATGTAACATCGTTTAATCAACCTTAATAATTTTTCTACATATAATACAAATTTCAATAAAAATTAATAAAACTGAGGCCACACCGCCACACCGCCACACATTAATTACTGCAGGGAAACAAAATAGGAGTATTCATTGACGTAATTTCTTCATATGACGAATTTAAGTACATGGACAAAAAAAACATTAACCATTTACCAAAAAAAAGTAATTTGACAACCTTTTTTTACATACTCCTATATAATTAAATTTGACTACTATTATCAGAATATTATCAGTTTATCATTCAATGATTCTTGTTTAAAATTTTGATATATATAGGATGGTCGACATGTACATCACCGATTAACGTCAAATATATTTCATCTTTTATACCAATCTTGATAAAATTGAAAACCACACGTAAGACAGAACGTATGGGCATGATTTCCTCGTAAATAATGCTTTGATTGATTGACACTTAACAAAACTAGAACTAGTTTTCACAAATTGATAAGATAATGTGGATTCATATTAAGAAAATAATAAGTACGATCGTATTCGTCTGGTTGACAATAAGAAGCATGTGATAAACATTTGGCCCCACACACATTGAATTTATAAACTGTTTCTGATTGGCACGAAAAGTATGGTGCCTCCTTATCCTTTTTTTTTTCCTTATGATCAATTTTCGAATACATTTGAAACAAATAAATGATATCAATGCCATAGCAACAAACAAATCTTCTTTATGAGAAAAATTAACAAACAAATTTTTTGTATATATTGATGATTAACCGGTCAGAAAAACGTGGTTAAACAAGTAGGGTGTTTAGGTTAAGAAAACAAATCGCTTTCTAGTCAATTATAAGAGATTTACAAACAAATGTTTTGTATAAATTTTAATGTTGGTTATAGAAACAAATTAATGTGTGCATATGGTACACATGCAAAGGAAGCAAACAAGGCTCAATACAGCAAAATCTCTAATTAATGGAAGAGAAGACAAATGACTCAACGAGTCTACGTACTAGCGTACGTAATACCTTGAGATTCGAATCAATAATAATAGTAAATAAAAGAAAGAAAAAGCAAAATATGATCCGTTAAATAAGGAAATAGGAGAAGAAGATCGGAGTATCTATGAGTTTCGAGCTCCCAACTAGTAACTACAATCTGCCGCTATAATTTGATGGAGATTGATTAACAATAAACCACATTGTTGTTGGCAAGTGTGATCGTGTACGGGAATTCTTACATATTAAATAGCAGATGTACGTAAATGTTTTACACCACATATTATACTAACGTCTTTGAGCAAATTTTTTGTTCTTCTAAGTTCTAACGATGATAAACTCTATTTTTCTTGCCTTAAACATAGAAGACGATCATGCCGTAAATCTAGAGAGCAAACATTTGTGAGTGTCAGAAAATGTGTCTCTTATTATATATTAAAACAGGATCTACGAAACAATTTTATGATCGATGTAACCTTTAGAGTAACGTACAGTAGGAGAAAACTAACTAAAATCTTTAGAGAGTTGCATTTTAGTAACCTACTTTAACTAATATATTGTCAAAAGCATTTGTATATATTATATTATATAGTTAAACCTTTATATACTCGAGAAGACACAGTCGAGAAAATAACTTCCATTTTGTAAGAATTTACATGGGATGATGACTTTAGTTTTCTTTTTCTTTCTTTTTCACTTACATAAAAAAATACTTTTTACTGGAAAAAAAATGAAAAAAGAAAAATACTTTTAATTATATAAAAAGGAAACTAAACTGGTTTTGTTTTAACTAATGTCTTCATTTTTTACTTATTCATATGCTTATCTTATAAAAAGTTACGTTTTCCATAAATAAAGAATCCATATAGTTTAACATAGTACATTCATTAAATATTTTGATAATGATAATAATAACTGTAAAATTATGTATATTTATGATATTTCGACGCTTACTTTTTCTCTCGTGCAAATCAAATTGATTATTTTATATACAAAAGTATATATACAAATTGGGAGGTATTTTGTTAGCAACAAAAAATACAATAAATACAAATTAGGAGGGGTGGGCAAAACTAGTGGGCGCATATTAGATGAATGGGCCTTTTTTAATAGTGTTTGGATTTAGATCCAACAATAACTATCGAACATGCACGGTGCACCCGTATTGTCCAATTTCTTACTCGTTTTTACTTTTCTGCTTGCTCTTTCAATTAATACACAATTTATGTATATACATTATGTCATTATCCAATTCCACTTACATAGAAAGTAGTAGATACACGGGGAAGTGCCTTTAGTCAAGTGGTTAATTCCAATTGGCTCCGCCTTCACCACCGGAGTTCGACTCCACTCAGTTGCGTTACCCCGCGTAGTAGGGATTGACTATGGATCGGGCTTTGTCGATCCAAAGATGATGTCAAAAAAAAAAAAAGTAGTAGATACACGAACTTTCTTTTTCTTATAAAAGTAATAACGGAAAATAGATTAGCATAGCCATTTATAATAACTTTTTTTATTCTTTAATTTTTTTTGGTAATAATCTCTTATATTACATAAATACTTTTCAGATCAAATATACACATTACCATGTCATAATGTTAAAATTCACGGATTCTCATATTATTTTTTATTTTTTTTTAATAAACCCTATCGGTTAATCCGGTTAACTCCGGTAGAAACACACCGAAGTGCTTTAGAGTGGACTACTCTCCGAAAAGCCACCACACTGTCTGTCCCGAGTTTGGAATGTTTTCCGACTAATGTCAAGAGGTAACCAGATCGCATGTTACTGGACTACCAAGTAAACTGTTTGGGCCTTTTGGCCCAATCCCAAACTTCCTACACAAATGTGTTTTTTTTTTCAGTGTGGATCGATTCTGGATATTAGTTCCTCGTGTTACAAAAAATAATATTAAAATTCACAGATTCTCAATTCAAACCTAATTTGTATTACATTAGTTCGTATACATTCTATAATTGTATGTCTTATCTGATTTTAGATGTGTAAATTCCTAACCTGTCTTTAAAAAAAATATATATTTGTATGAGAACTAAATCTTAATTGATGACAAAAAAAAAGTTCATTTTGATATCATCTTTACCAAAAAAAACTTTATTTTCTTTATATGTAAGTGGATGTCGCCGAGTTTTTTAAAAAGTTTATACTCGGCGACATCCAGTTTTTAATTTACTTTGATTTTGATTTGTTATTTTTCGAGTTTAGGAAAAAGATATCCAAACTAGAACATCATTTTTCAAGTAATTGTTGTATCTTTTTTTATAAAACAAAATTTTATTTTTGTATATTTTAGTCAGAACAGCTAACTTCTAATAAATACTATTGATTAAGCTTGGATTCAGTTTGTGATTCAATATAACCGATTCATGATAAAATTAAGTTCGAATTCAGTTTAGTTTTTTGTTCCAATCCTAAAACAAAAAAAAAAAATATCTTTGGTCACGGGCTTGAAATTATGATAAATCAAGAGATACATATCTAAGAACAAGTAAACAATTTTTAATCAATATGGGCTAGATAAGGCCCATAAAGGTCAAACCCTCTTTGCTTCAGACAGCTTTGGAGCTTCGTTTGTCAGGACACGTGGCACTTCCTTAAGCACCTCTGTGTGAGACCATGGCGACGCGTGTGACCAGACGGCGTTTAAACCCTTCCTCCAAAATCTCGTCTTTCTTCTTCTTCTCCGCCGCCATTGTCGTCGTAGTATCTGTACTCGATCTCGTTCTGTCGAAGCACAAGAGATTGAATAACACATGGAAGGAACAAAGAGAAGTTCTTTGGGTGCGCGAAAGAAACTCAAGAGGAAGAAGAAGAACAGAAGACTTATGAGAAGTAGTGTTACCTACCTCAAATCTGATGCATACTTGTTCGCTCCTCTGTTTTCCAACTTTCCTCCGCTCACGACGGAGATAAACACGCCTCCGCCGTCGAATTCCAAACCATCGACGCTGGACGACATCTCCATGGCAGGTAATGTTATGACTCGTGCTCTTTACGCTCGTCTGTTGGTTGATCCTAAGGGTTTGAATTTTGCTAATTTTGGACATTAGGGTTTGAGTCATTGGGGATTGAGAGGGTTCTTAAGAAGAAGAGAAGAATGTCTGAGAAAGTTAAGGAATATCTAAAATCTGAGTGTTTTATGTACGCACCAATGATATCGTCCCCTCCAAAGCTTGGTTCTTCGGTTAAAGGTGAGAGCTTTGTACTCTCTAAGCATCTTCTTTCTCTCTGTGATTAGCTTTGTAGTTAGGTGGATTTAGCTAAGTTGAGTTAGACTATCTTAGATTCTGCATTTGGGGCTCAGATAGTTTTTTGAAGCAGGGAATATGCAGATTACGAATTTGGTTACCATGGAAGTATCAACGGGTACTACAACCATGAAGGAAGATAACAACAACTATAGGAATCTCCGGTCAGATATTGTAGAACAGGCATTGCATAGCGGAAGGATCAACTCTCCAAAACGAGTACAGGTGATCTTAGAAGGACAACGAACTGGACTTAGCCGTGAAACCGATGTTTCACCAGCCTTATCTTCTCGACCAGGTATGTAGATTGATGGCCCCAATCATGTTATGAAAATGGAATTTGATAAAAGGTTCTTAAACATCGGATCACTAAGTAGGTAGCACAAGTCTAATCTTCCACCAGTGAGATGTTGATAAGCATATATGTAAGTAGTATAAATAAGACTGGCTGGGGTTAGTGTTAAGAGTCTTTCACTAGTTGGGAGTCCTTTGTGACTTTGGGAGGGGTTGTAAAACAAACCCTCGATCTTGATCCTATCAGATGTCTAGCTGCAAGTTTCATGGAAGTGACGTAGCGGGAGCTTCTAGTGATATAGATGCTAGGTTACTAGTTTAGTCTGAAAATGTGATATGTTCTCAAGACAGAGCCTCTACCTTCTATACGCATAGACATGGATAAGAGTTGCGTGTCTCTCTCCAAAGTTTGTTCAAGTTTTAGATAAGGCTTTGTGAAATTTGTTGACTTGCTTGGGGTCGACAAACAACAAATGTTACTGTAAAATACTATAATGGTTTTTAATGGTTATGTGACAGGGGAAAAGATGGTGAAGCCAGATCAAAGAAGAGTTGCAATTGAGTGAAGATAGTAAAGTAGACATAGTAGACACAATGTAATCATTGTAAAATACAAATTAATTATAGTAGCTAGCTCTGTAAGAAGAAGTTTTCTTGTTGGTAAGCTTGAAGGAAGTGATGTATGAATGAGGATGACAAAGATGTGTGTCTGTCTGAACAATTGCCATGTTAGCTGTCTGTTTGATGAGTTGTTGTATGTCAAATAAACTTCTACAATTCAGCAATATCAGCCTTCTTGCTCACTCACCATTTCAAGAGGGTTCATTAAAAAACGAATCACTTAAATTTTGTATAACTAATCACTTTTTACTATCAATCAGATTCTAAGTGGTACATAGATTATGAATAATGAAAATTGGTTTATTTCTTGAAAGTAATTTTTGTTGCAGGGAAATTGTGATGTTGAAAGAGGAGGTACACAAAATTGATTGTGAAAAATGGTGAAAACATCTGTGGTTTATTTCGTGTGCACGTGAGGTGTATTCAATGTCTAAGTCCCACATTGCAGACCCTTCCCATCTGTCAACTCTACACACGCATGCAAGAAAGTTGTATTATCTATCTATGCATTGCGTGTAGTATATAAGATAACATTATTCATTATTGCAATCGAAAATCAAAGAGACATCATATCTGTCAATGTTAATAAGTCCCTAGTCTAGTTTCGAAATAATGTGAAGCTAGTGAAGGAATTTGATAAGATAGGATGATTATGAGATATCTCTATATTGTTGTATAAAGAAATGTGATATGTCTATTAAATGACACAATCGTATTGGAGCATGCACAATTGCACATGAGTCCCCGAGAAAAACGGAGGTTATTGTATCGGGGACTAGATATATAGATGTAGACATAGCACACGTGTACCCTCTCAGAATCGTAATGTCATAATTATTTTTTGTAATTATCATTATGAATGTGAGAAAGAGAAAGAGATCGATCGAGGAAACAACTCAGCCAAGAAAAAGACGTAATATGTCTTTTTATTTGTCAAAGAGACATCCATGCATGATGCATGGGTTTCACTCACCCTCTCTTTTCTTTATAAATATATGGTCGAAATGTATATATTATTCATATGTTAATTATTTCTATGCATCTACGTCTATTGTTGATCTAGTTCACCCAAATTAATTCATACTCCCTCCGTTTCATATTAAGTGTTGTTTTATATTTAAAATTTTGTTACAAAATAAGTGTCATTTTGTATTTTCAATGTAGATGTTTATGAAAATTTTCCGTTTTATCCCTACTTTATTGATGTGCTAACCAATGAAAAAAATTGTATTAATAAGGGATAAAATATAAAATTTAATGGTTTTCTTAATAAGTGTGAGAAAACCTTAAACGACACTTATATTGAAACATAGGGAATATGTCTAAAAATTTTGCGTTTTAAATGTGGCGTTGTTTTTTTTTTTCCTATCTAGAATCGGATATATGGGTTCGTCAAAAACTCGCTAATTTTATGAATGTGAGGAGTTCTTGGTAAAGAGTTTTCCGCAAATCCACCACGGAACAAATTATGAAACCTAACTGACCAAGTGGCTTAATCATAGTGTGTTGTTGCACACGATGGAATAAAACTTAAATTGACTATAATGAGTTTACCTTAGAATCAATACTTCTGAGCTACCACATGGGGATTAACAATGACATTGATTATTATAGAGAGGCCCGACTTCCTTAATTATAAGATGATAAGATCGATATTTGGACTTAATCGTAGCTCTTTTTCATTTTTAATAATTAATAGTGATCAAGACCATGTTTGAAAATTGTTTACAACATAATGCGAACGATTGATGTATTAATGTATCCACTTGTTCCATAACTAATGAGAGCCTAAACTATGTATGTGGTCTCCCTTCGGTTTCATAAATTATCACTAGACTTCGTACATTGAAGAAACGAAATTGAAGCTTTTATTGGTTATGGGAATAAATCCCAATTAGATAAATTGCATTATTATTCGTTGTTATCCGATAGTCGCTAGCTATGACTAGTACTGTTCTACAGTCTCTACTATATATACGTACGACATTATTAATTATTAGAGGTGAAAGAAATAAACCCATACGACGTAATTTGTTGTTGTAATAGTAATCATCAATAATGTGGCAAAATTTTGTAAGTATTAGAATTATTTGTTGGTTGGCCTGTGGAGGCGAAGCTTGGAACGTGGACCGACTTATAGTCTTCCGAATTTGCTATTTACTTATGGATGGGTTTTGGTCAATACGGTTGCGTTTTTTGTCGTATATGCATGACCAATTAATTACCCATTAATTATTTCGTGTATTATTTGATCAACCGATCGAGCAACAACAATTTATACAATCAGCATTCACATGTTTTCAAGACACAACATCATGTAGCTACTCCTTCGATACTGTAGTTTTTAAATTTGATGAGACTTTTTGTTTTAGGCAGCTATAGCTTTTATTTGTTATGAATCGTGTCAAGCTAATTTTTAAGTTTGTGATCAGTAAGTTTTGATAAAGGAAAAAAAAAAAGAAAATTGTTACAAGGAAGACACAAACATCATTTCACATGCATATTTGAATTTTTTGTTGAAAGTATAATTTTAAATTGAGAAATGATCAAAGAATTCCTATTATACCTGAACCTAGCTAATCAGCAAAGCTATCAATGTATATGGATTTCCATATTAAAAAATCAATACTTATATTTAGTTTTATTTAGTCGATCTAATATACTTGTCTGTCAATATAACATATGAGTTCCTTTTAAAATAGTTCTAGCAGACATATATAATGGACTAATTCACATGTGAACGAAATTGATTTTGTTCATAATTTATACGTTTTGGTCAGTATGTGGTCCAAACGGAAGAAAATAAAAGTTGTTATCTACCTCTCAAATATATAGAGTGATCAAAGACGTAGACAAATCACTCTATCATATCCTCTGCAACCAGTCAGAAGTTTATACTTACTAGCTACCGTATAAATCCATAGCTAATATCCATCACACGTGTGCATACGTGGATTGTTTCTATATCAAGCGTGAGAGGATTATTCATTTTTCGTCCAACTTATCTATAAAAACACATAGTCGCTCTTGTTCTTTAATCCACATATCATCACAAACTCTCTCTCTCTCTTTAGCTTTTGTTAATATATCGTACAAGTTCGAAGAAGACCGTTCGTGTGCAAAAGGATGAGGTGTAGAGCACTAAACATTCGGAGAAGAAAGAGAGTAATGGTTAATGTGAGCTCAAGGAAGCTCATGACCCGTCTCCGGCGAATGGTTGCTCCGGAAACGAGTTTTTCCGATGAGGTTGACGGTGCCACACTATATCGGCTCACGGCTGATCACATTTTCCTACTTCAAGCAAGAATCCAACTCCTTCGTCGTATCTCTTCTGTTTGTGGTCTCTAGATCGAAGATACACATGGCCAAAAAAAGTCGAAGCAATGGTATAATTTATGGATAAAACATCTGTTTTCTCTATTTATATTCTCTTAAGCAATCATCTTATAAGTACGTCGTAATGCCGACGCTATAATTTGAACGTATTTATTTGAATTTATGTTTGTGATGTATTTAATTGTGAACAGTTTTTTTTACATGCATGCAGCTTTGACCGCGTTTATATATAGCTTTGACATACGAATACTATCTTATATACGATACGCCTACGTTTTTTAGGTATATAAATATAACAATAACAAAAAAATACTAATTTTGACATGACTAATTATGAGTTAGGATTGACCTAAGTATAGGGTAAAGTCTGTGTATGACATATGCGCGGTCCATGCATGATGCATATGAAACTTCTGCCATGTTATATCGCTCGCTCTCGGAAGGGAAAAACTAGAGTGACAGATTCAGAGATAAAATGATCCCCAAAAATTAATGGCATCAATCGATAACCCAATAATTAGGGTGAACGCGAAGCCAATATTCTATATTTTTGTTTGGTATTCATGCATGATTAGCTCAACTCAACGATATATCATCAACACTTTAATCATGATTTGTATCCGCAATCAACCAATTATTCGGAAAAATATTTGATCGGTTATATAAAAGTTGTTAAAAAAAATTTGATATAGAAAAAGTAAAAATTTAACAAAAAAAGTTACAATAATTTATAGAAAGGTTGCTTTCTTCTTAATTTACGGTTCTTTTCTTCTTAATTTATTCTTTTTAACAATTCTTTTTAACAATTTTATATGATGAATACAAATTCATATATATATATATATATATATATATATATATATATACAAATTTTGTCTAAGTATCTAGATATATCAAAACGTGGCATAAATCTGTCTCTTCAAATTAAAAACTATCCAAAATTGTCTGATCGAATTGAAGTGGACAACTGATCAAATCTTAATTTTTCTCCATTAGCTTATTATATACGTATATACATAAAGATAAGACTGCGACAATGGAGGACGGTGTTTATTTAGGGAATTCTCAGAAAATAACTCAATATTGTTTATAAATAAAGTAAATAATCGATCTGATGCATAAAAAAGCAAATAATCTTTGGTTGATCACTATTTAAGTTTCAATCTACTTAACATTTTTGAAGTACAAATTTGCTCCTCTAATCGGATCGGGTTTTTTCTGATTTTAACCCGGAGATCTTCAATCGGATCTTTCCTTAAATTATGGCAAAATTTAAAAATGAAAATACCTAATAAAATCTAAATTATATATATTTCTCAACTAATTACTATATCTAAACTATTTATTTATGATATATTATTTACAATTTTTATAGATTAGGAAATCAATTATGATAATTTAATGCTAATATAATAAATTTGAGCTAATTTCCTAAAACTTTTCTACCTAATTTAAACATCAATATATGATTCTTATTTCACTTTTATTTGATCTTATATTTATATTATTTTGAATTATTATAAAATATATATAGTTAATAAATTTTAGTTTTTTTTCCTGCATATGTTATGATTCAAATTTCTTAAAACAGACATATATTACTCAATCGATGAAGAAAAGAGGTATGTGTGCAATCTATATTAACATTTTTTTTAAGAACAAATTGCACATTTTTAATCAAGTCGTTTTTTTTTATTCTGACTCGAAATTTAGTCATTCAGATATTTTCTTAATTTCTACAATTATCTAAAACGGGACAGTATACCACGGGTGAGATCCTAAAATTAACAAATCAAAATACAAATATTTAGTTTTTTAAGATACAATTATAAATTGTTTTTACGGGTTGGTCCAAAAACACATACTAATTTAAAAAATATATATTATGGAAAACATTTGAAAATAAACTTTTAAATCGACTCGAATTATATGTCTTTTAAATAAAAGTGTTATTAAAAAAATAAGAAAATGATGTTTAATTCCACAGGACATGAGTATATGGTGGGACGGGTTTGGATCGATATTAATACAGAACAATATACCACGGGTGAAATCCTAGAATTAACAAATCAAAATTTAATTATACAAGCTTAAAGAGTAAACAAAACAAATACAACTTAAAATATTTATTTTTATATACAACGCATGTAACCCGCGGTGTACAACAAAAATTATTATACACAACAAATTCATCTGTTTATAAAAAGATAAAAAATATATCAAATAATTAACCTGCGGTGTACCGCGAGTCATATCCTAGTTAATAAGTATTTTGGCGTGCGATTTCAACCAATAAAATAAAAAAATAAAATTATTTGTTTAATAACACTATTTGATATTAAAAATTTTGTTGTTTTTACTAGATGATATACAATTTCGTGAAAAGGCGTAAATATATATTTTTTTTTGTCAATTTCCACGAATTTCATTTGTGTTTCTTATTTAGTTATTTACCACTTTCCCATTAAAATCTACGTAAGTAACTCTTTTATTTAATAAGATAAGATATTTTTATAGAAAATGTACGAGAGATTCCAACAATTATTAATTGTAGTGCACGAGTGTCGTATCCTAATTCCTAAACCTGGATCGAAGTCTTCGCCTTCAATATAAAATACTCTATATTATTCTTATGTTATTTTAGTAATAAACGAAAGATGTTTTTCATTTTTTTTTAATAATTTGATAATAAAAAGCAAAAGACGAACTCACCAAACTGTTGCTTTTGGTGTAATGTATTCAAAGTCAAAGACACATTTAATGATTAACTTTCTTGCCACATGCTCTTACGCTTCATGACTTGTAATACAAAATTAAGAGAAATGGGGTAGGTGAATACTACAAATGTTGCATTTTTTTTAATCATTAGTAACTATAATTGCCAATGCAAAAGATATACACAAATTTCCTTTGATATATAAATCACTAACTATTAAATTACTTTTGTTATTTTCATCAAACTGACTATTCAAATATTTACTTCAAACGAGTTTTTCTACTTGATTTTAAATGGACAACAAGAGATCCTACCATTTAGAAAGAGTTACATAGAAACTAGAAAGGAAGAAGCAGAGTGGGCTGATAAATGAGAGTGAGAAGTAGGCCTTCTCAAGAGCACTACGGGGCCCATACATGTGTCTACGTCCACTTGTTAACCTGCCGAGGATGCTACATACATATATAATTCCCGAGTCGTTCTCGTCTACAATTACATTACACATAAAATACCGAAATCATGTTATCTCCGTATCATAACATAGGTTCAAATTTGATAGTACGTGTGTATAAGTTATTAAGTTGTATGCATAAGTAGTAAACATTAGTAATCATCGAATTCCATCAATATTTTTTTTGTTGAAAAGAATTGGATCAATATATTTTTGAAAGAAAAATAAAATATTGATCCAATTATTTTCAACAAAAAAAATATTGATCAACAAAAAATTGGATCAATATTAAGCTATCTATATATTCGTACTGCGAGACCGTAAAACAACAAATTGGATATTTAGGATGGGTAGAAATAGATATCTTTCACACACCATGAAAGATGATGGATCTAAAGTGTTGAAGTCAATTGATCAATATAATAAGAACAAACGTTCATCGAGGCCATGTGAAAAAATCGACACGTACTTCAATTGAATCTTTTTCTTTTCCCGGAGAAATTATAGGTACACTGCATGAAAGTCTTGAGCGATCACCACATTTGCCGGACTCATGCTATTTTTTTTCTATGCTTATCCGTAAAACCATGGTTCAACTCGTGGTAAAACTCTTAAATAATTCATTTAAAAGTTGTACACAGTACTCCTATCAAAAGATTTTCGTGAAGTGATCATGAACGTTAACGTACGTTTTAAAATTGTTTTTTTTTGTTCTTTCTAATAATTCTACCAATTGCTCTTGTTTCCTAAGTTGGTGAAATTTGTCAAATCATACAACTAAGAAAGTCCATATAATAGAAACAAATGTTGGATCAACCTACCGTTTTATGGGTTTATGAATAGAGAATAAAGATATGAAAAACGGTTTTAAGTATAAAAATGGACCAAAATAATTGAAGCTTAAATGATGATGAGTATAAATGGTATTTAGGGTTGGAGAGAAAGTGGGGTATGTTGAACCATGTGCGTCCATGTGCTCTGTCTTTCTCTTCTAGCCCCACTCTTAATTTCACTTCTTTTCCTTTGATCCAATAAATGCCTCCACACTCTCATTTCTTCTATTAATTCTCTTCTTCAATCTAATCTCTCTCCCTCTCTCGCCTTTTCTCATTTATTTCTAGGGTTTAAGTTTCAGACACAATCGAGCTACTTGGATATCTAAAAACAGAAACAAGCGTAAGGTAAAGTATATTTATTGATTTCATTAACGTCACTTTAATTTTCTACCCAAGCTCCTTTTTCAGCTACCGTTTTTATCAAAAGTGTATTCTAAGGAAATGTTTTACGACGAAGCCATGTGCGATTATATATATACCTTTAAAATGTGGATGAAAATAACAAACACTGAGTATAGAATCTAACGTTTATTTTCAGATCATGCTATTTTCCTAAAATTCATGTTTTTATTTTATTAGGATGAACACGTACAACATGGTGAAGCAAAGATTTATCAAGAAATGGATAAATACTCTCCACATGTTAGATTCTTCTATTGAACATCCTTTGAACGTAACCGAGAGGAAAAATGCGATTAGACTATCATCAGACTTAGCCATCGCAGCCACTAGAAGCGGCTCTACCGTATGGAGCCGCGCTCTCATCTCTAGGAGCGGAAACAAGACAACAAACAAACCAATGGCTCGTCGAATACTAAAAAAAGCTCGAAATCGGATGAAGAACCGTTGTAACACTCTTAGACGAAATGGTAATTTCACGGCAAAAAGTGGGACGAGAAAACGTACGGATTTGCTTAAGAGTCTTGTACCGGGAGGCGAGGTAATAGACGATAAAGATTATTTGATAAGAGAGACACTTGATTACATTGTCTATCTCCGAGCGCAAGTAGACGTCATGCGAACCGTCGCAGCCATCGATTTAGTCACCGGGAATTTAACCAACGATCGTAGGAACAAATAAATGTACATGCATTTCAGAACTCTTGTGCATATGAAGTAGCTAATGGTTTAAATGCAAGTCCATGTACATATATAGGATATATAACACTCTTATCGTATAACAAATTTCTAATTTTTTTTTTTTTTTTTTTGTCAACAGCTTAAATAAAATGGATGTTCAAAAGAGCTATTCCTGGAAAATGTTGTTTACATAAGTGATATGATGCGGTTCGGTACGAATTTTTCGTGCCAAATTATCCGCTTTTACATTTGCGCTACGCAGAATTAAAGATAAAGAAAAATTAGAAAATTATTCCTTGTCACTCTTCAAATCTTCCAAATACACTGAGAAGGCCGGCCATTCGGTTGGGGAAGATATCATCTTCACCAAATCTGAACAGTCTGTAAAGAAAACTATATCTTGGTTGTCAGCACCAATCATACACTTCATCGCCCAGAGTAGAGCTTCGACTTTTGTATGTAGGGGGGATAGACTTCGCCGGATGTTTGCAGCTCCCATGGTTGACATCTCTCCATTTGCCGATGTACAGTACCACTCTGTTCCTGAAAAAATATATGTCCTTCACCATGATCTATCTACGAAACACCGATGTCCGGAGTATAACAAATTTCTAATGAATTATCGAGTAATGCTGGTGTACATTTATGGGCTAATTTCATATTATAAATTAAAAGAGCACCTGTATATTAATAGAGATGTAGCATTCATTATATATGTTTTTATCAAAAAAAAAAAAAGCATTCATTATATATGCAGTATATACTGATGTGAATTTAGATTAATTAAGGAATGGTTTGGTGATACAATTAAACTTATCACTCAGTTATTAGAAATGTTTCTACAAATATATATCTCGTACATACATATGTATTCATTACAATAAGGCATTAACTGACTATAAACGAAACTCTTTTTTTTTTTTGTGAAGAAACAACTCTTATTTTTTTGATCTAACAAAAGAAAAGTAGTAACTCATACGCTACAAGAACGCAGAAATCTATAATCGTATTGAACGTATGAATGTTATTGTTCTACCAACTGTAATTGATTTCTCAAGTGAACAGAGAATATGAAACTTAATAGTTTATATAGTGTTTTGTTGTGTACTCCCGACTTTAATTAAACTCGGTAGAATGCTTAAAAAAAAAAAAAAAAAAACTTTTACAATGGTGACTAAATAGTCTAAATTATTGGGTTTGGAATGGGCCGAGTTGATGGGTTGAATTTGGGCCTAAATGTGAAGCGCAAGGGTCACTAATTTGTTGGTATAAGATTTGGGGTTATATGTATTTGGTACTCCCTCCGTTTTCGAATAGTTGTCGTTTTAGAGAAATTTTTTTTGTTTTTAATTAGTTGTCGTTTTCAGTTTTCGATGCAAAATTTATTACTTTTTTATTTTTTATATTTATTTTTATTATGCAACTTGATTTATTATTAGTTAAATTATGTTTAGATAAATAATTAATGATATTTTTATATTGAAAAAATAACAACATTAATAGTTTCTTAATTTGTGTGCATATTGTTAAAACGACAACTATTCGAAAACGGAGGGAGTATTGAAAATAATAGAAAAACCAGTTTAGGTTGGCGGCGCAAGTGTACTCGAGTGATTTCGGATCGGCTAGTTAGATTCATTGAATTGCTATACATAAAATTTGACGACATCTTGCTATGCTTAACTTAGCACTAATCTTTGAACCTGTTAATAGCCTTTTTAAAATTAATCTGTAAACTATATATATATATATATATATATATATATATTCTCTTTCTGTCGGCACACACATGAAAATCTCTTGGCAGTTGGCATTTATTTAAAGTGAGAGTCACATGGTCAAATGATAACACCTTTAATTAGTCATCTTTGATTTGATAAACACACGATTTTGATATTGAAAAAGAAACTTAAAGCCATTAAGAAATGATAATTAATTAAGAAAGTATGTAGCTAATAAATGATTAATTAGTTAAAAAATCTTTGATTAAAAAGTAGAAGAGTTATTTGAACCATATACTATAACTTGTCTTCTTCCTTTTTTGCGAAAGCTTAGAGCCTAAGACCCATTGCATGCTTGTTCATGATTATGCCTCTTATCTATCTATAGGATGTTGTTATCCTGATTGATAACTACATTTGCACTTTTAGATCTATGATCTTTTCCAATGTAACTAGTTTAAATCACTTAGCATTCAATATATGAATATTAGTTCTTCTACAATCAGATCAATGTACGTAGGATATTAGTTATAGTCCAGTTTTGTGTTTTCCAAAACATCTTAATTAATTTTGTTGAAGACCAAATCTTTTTCAATTTCTCAATCAAATACGTGTTAGAATTTTTGGGATAGAAATCCAGCTATAAATCACTTGTGAATGAGTGAAAAGTGTTAAGAGGCCCAAAATATTATATTTAAATATATGTTGTTGTTGTTCTGTGCTTAGCTTGAATCTATGGTTTCAATTTAAAGATAGATGAAAAAGAGATGCAAGAGGGTCCAATCCATTGTTGTCAATAATTTTGCTTCTATGGTTAGCAAGTTAGCATCTATTTATGTATATGCATTTCCTCTATGATAAATCAATATAGTTATTATGGTTAACTCAATTCACATCACATCTAATCGTTAAATCTTTTCCAACAACAACACATAGAAGTATATTCAAGTAAGCATTGCATATCTCTTTAATAATGATGTAGTTAGACTTCTCATTGTTTTTGATATTTTTGTATCTGAACCAAAACATAGTACTGCACCAGAGTTATCCATATTTTATTTGCTTAACTACTAGTATATTTTTAAATCGGGAAACAAAAAACTAATAAAATCCGACGTCTGGATTTCATGCTTTGACGTAAAATAATAATGGAATCCATTTTCGTTTTGTTATTAAAATAGTTGAATAAAACTGGCGATTCTGCAGAACTTGTTTTCTCGAATGACTTAATACTCTTATGCAATACCATGAGTACTAAGTTACTAATCAACCAATCAAAATAAAAAGTATTACTAATGAGTAATGATAAAACGACATTATTACAGAAACCTAATTCCCATTTTGATAGAAAGTTGAGACTAACCCCTACCCCTCCATATCCTTTTAGATATAAAAAAAGAAAATGTGTCTAACGATAATCACTTTGATCATGGCCCAAATCATTCCCACCCATGGAAATGATGCTCCCCATCAAACCTTTTTTGAAAATAATAATAAGGTAGATTCCCACACCAGAATTATAATAGAAATTAATTAATTGTTTCCTCTTTCATACCATAACATAAATATATGATCAATCAACAAATTCTCAAAGTCACAATCTTTGATTCCAAAAAAAAAGACGATGGAACTATCATTAGCATTAACATCAACAGACCATAATCCATCGCCTTCAGAGGCACATCCAGACACTATGGACTTTCTGTCTCGAGAATGGTGTAATTTCGCTGTTCAATCACTTCATCCCGACCCTATCCTCTACGATCGTTCCATTGTTCCCGTCGAGACATCGATCGCCAAGTTTCAAGGCGACTCGAGTCCTGTTTCTTGTGCTGTAAGTAACCAGAGATTGTTTTTTTCTTTTTATTTTTTTTTGTTTATGAGTGATTATTTCTTCAGTATTTTTTGGTTAATGTTTAATTTATGATGATTGTGAAAGTAGATGATGGATAAGAGCATGAAGATGGAAGATCCAGATTTTAAGCCCTCGATGGCTTCATGGAAAACCAATGATGTCAAGGTAAAACATATTGTGTATGCAAAATATAGAACAAAACAGTTTAGCACAGATTAAGTTAGGGATTAATTATTCCGTATAATCATTTTTTTACCTAAAAAACGCAGGCAAAAAATAAAACATTATGATATCATAGACATTCATAGTGTTCAACATATATTCCTCATTTTTATGTTGTCTATGTTTATTTAATGCACATTCTAATGAAAGTTTGTTATATGATTTAAATTGTAATATCACAGCATATAGAATTGTGGAAATTGAAAAAAAAAAAACTGTTACATAATAGAATGACATATATAAATTAAGTGAAGAAACATTAAGAGATTAATATTGATACTATAATTTGTTGAATGATGTGAACAGTCATGGATATGGATGCAACAAGCAATGCACCCGGAATTGAGCTACGAAGGCTTTTTCCGCAAGAAACTTGTAATTGGCCATTTGGTTTGGTTTTGATTTTTTTCAAATCTACAATATTGGTTTTCTAAATCAAAACAATAATGGGTTTGTAGAAACTTCCATGGAAGATTACGCCGTCGATAAAGAAATGGTGGAAAGAGATAAAGGCGAAACGAAAGGAAGAAGTGAGGCTACAGAGAGCTGAAGTTCACGCTGCCGTTTCCTTGGCTGGTCTAGCGGCTGCTCTCGCCGCCGTAGCTTCCGAGAACGCCGGAAAAGATGGTGGAAACGGTCGACCGAGCACGAGGGAGACTGCTGTGGCTTCTGCAGCGGCTGTGGTGGCGGCGCAGTGTGCGCAGATGGCAGAGACAATGGGAGCAAACAGAGATCAGCTCAGCACAATGATTGGTTCGGCCATGACCGGGACAAGTGTCAGTGAGATACTCACTCTCACTGCCTCAGCTACAACTTGTAAGAAGAAGATTGTTTTTTGTTTTTTGTTTCTATAAGAATATTCTGTTTCTGAGACAATAAGAATATTCTGTTTCTGAGACATTGGTGCTTGGTAAAATAAGCGTTGAGAGGTGCTGCGACGCTGAAAGCAAGAAGAGGTTGCAAGATCAATAGATTGAATGGCTCTGCTCCTGTGTTGCCTATCGAAGACTCTTCTTATTTGCCTCCTGAATTCGACAAGAACATATCTGTTCTTGCTAAAGGAACCGATCTCTTCGTTGAAACACCAGATGGTATATAAATCCTCTGTTTTTCTTGTTGAACTCCTCTGTTTTGTGGAGAGACTAAAGAGATCTTTGGATTGAAACAGGGGATTTCAAGGCTAGGACAGTGTCTATGGTCTTAAACAAAGATGGAAAGGTCCTAAACTTGGCTCTAATCCGTTTTTAATCTTAACCAATGACGTCTACTAATCGATGATCTTGCGTTTGTTTTACACAGGTGATTCTCAAAATGAAGAAACATAACCTACTCAGGACTAAGAAAGAAAGTATGCAGCTAAATTCTCAATCCTTTTGTTTTAGGTTTACTTACCCTTCAAGCTCTGAGTTTAAAACATTCAATGTTTTGTTTGTGTTGTGTGTTAAGGTATTGTGACGAATGTTCATGTAGAACTTTACAAAGATTCAGATAGCGAAGACAACAACATAGAAGACACTTGTTATCTCATTGTCCTGAGAACAAACAGAGGAGCTATCAAGCTAGACATGGCTGATGATTACAGTCGTTACAAGACATGGGTCACAACGATCCAACACATGCTCACTCTCTCTTCTTCCTCCTTAAGTACAAATTACGCACTCACTTTCTACAACAAAAACTGAAATTTTCATCGTCTTGTTCATCGTTTTCCCCGGTGTAATTTTACTTTATCATCTCCTCTGTTTCTTATGTCTCTCTCGCTTGATCTTATAATATAATGCATAAACAACTTGAGAACTTACGTTCTTTTAATTAGACTCCACATACATCAGCTAGATTTCTAAGTAAAGTAACCTGAGATTTGAGAAGCAAAAGATGCTGAATTGACTTGAGAAACAAGGCTTCCTCGTCCTCGATCTCTTCACAGCCTGGTACAATCCTACGAAGGATCCCGAGGTTTCTTTGCATACAAGTTTCTCGAAACTTGGGTTTTTCCTTTCGTCCTTTGAGACTGCGGTGGGTGAACTTCTTACACTTCACCATCTTCATCACTTCTTGCACTCTAAGCTAAGATACAAAGCCATATATATAGAGAAACCGTAAAGATGACAACGATATGGAAGAAAACAAGTTGTCTGAAAAATGTTTGACAGAGAAAAGGAGACAAGGAACCCATATCAAGGCCATAACCACTGAACCTGTCTCTGCCAATCCATCCTTGCAATGTCTAATGTTCAATGTATCTGTTTGTGGTCCTCATTTATGCATACTTTATGCCATTATTGTTGTTTCAATTCCAAAATGGTTCGTTTAACCAATACATTTACGCATATGAGTAGATGGGAAAAGAAAATGGGCCAGACGGTTACAAGAATACAGGCTTCACGTTGACCCAATTAGGCCTATCACTAAATTTATTGTTTTTTCTTTTGTTCGTTTGCAATTCTAGAGTCTAACGCCACTAACTTGCCAGGCAAGAAATCACTGGCCAAGTTACCAATTTGAAATTGAAAAACTTGAACCCTACGTCAGATAAGATTACACGAAGGACTCTTTATTATATCATAATCCATCTCATTCACCTAATATCATTCCAGCACCGCATTAAGATTAATTTCTCTCTAATGGGAAAAGAAGGCAATTCCTAGATATACTATCATTCACAAAGGAATAAGAATTTAAAACCTTGTGTTGCCTCCAAACAGACCAAAATATGGCTAAAGTTCATCGTTTTGACCCGATATGTCACCTCATTTTGACTCGACATCATCAAAATGGGTTAACCTGAACTGCGAAGAGGAGTCTTGGGAATTCTCACCATCCGATTCATGCGCAAGAACAATAGGGGAAGACGAAGCAGTGAGGCCAAGGAGGAGGCCAAGCAGATAGGACATGTTGAGTTTGTGAGGAGCCAAGTGTCGATGCACTCCACGTGGAATGCATGGCTGCATTTTGGTAAGAGCCGGAGCTCGTCTTCGGCTGTGAACTCGCTGAGACAAACGGCGCAATCAGAGAGGTCGTGCCTAGGACCAAACCCGACTTGACGACGCCTATTATATAATTTAATAGGCGTCGTCAAGTCGGGTTTGGGGTCTAAGTAAGAATTTGACGAGCAGGTGAATCAATGCAGCGACAAAGAAGATGATGGAGAGGGGAGTGATGTAGAGAAGTACTGATATCTTGTGTTTTTGCTCCTTTTTAAGCTTTGTTTCTCTTGGTTTTTCATCATTTTGCATTCTTGTTTAGGTTCTTAGGTGCATATTTCCATAGCATTTCTTACTTTTAGGTTCTTGGAGTGGAGCATTGAGTTTTAGAAGCAAATGGCGTTAAAAGATGTGAAGAATCAAAGAATCAAGAGGAGGATGAAAGCAATAGAGCAGTTGGTCGATTGGGACCAAACCAGACCCGCGGACGAGAAGGAATCGAGGAAGCAGTCGACCAATTGGTCGATTGCTAGGTCGATTGCCTGGTCGATTGGGTACTTAAACCGGGTCAAAACCCGGTTTGTTCCGGGTTGACCCGGTTCGTTTTCTTTTCCTATAAATGTGTCTAAACCTAATTTTTAGATTTCTTATGCTACCTAAGCCTAGTTTTCTTAATTTCTCTTTGTAATCAAGTTCAAACCTTTGTGATTCTTGCTTTTATATAAGTATTTCTTTAGATTCAACTTCTATCTATCTCTTATACTCTTCTTCTAACATAAATCTTCAAGGATTACTGTCAACTCCTTGGATTTTCATGGCTTTAAGTGAGTAGTCTTCTTAGAGCTTTTAGGTCAAGTAGATTAGGGTGGTTAGGTGATGATTTGTGATGCTTAGGACTTAGTCTTAATATATCCTTACTCTCTAGGTGCTCTTAGTGCTAGATTAGTCTTGATTAAGCTAGTCTAGATCATAGGAAGTTTCATGCCCGGAAGGTGTTCGATGAACTTCCCGAAAGAACTTAGTGAGTGCTTAGCATTCCTAGCCAATGGAAATTGATGATTAGGGTGCTAGGTGGTTAGTTAGGCTTGAAATTAATGCATATTAGTCTTGTGATTGCCAATGGAAATTGATGGTAATTGCTTGATTAGTGTAGAGTTATTGCCATGGAAGTGGATTAGCTTAAATTAGTGATCTTAGACCTAAGGATTAGCAAATGATTGATTGTATTAGCATCATAGACTATCCTTTGACCACCCAAGTCAATAACCTTAACCCAAAGGCTTATTCATTTAGTATTTTCGTCTTTGACTTTTTGTTGACTTTCGTTGACTTTTTGTTGACTTTTATAAATTGCATCTTTCTCATTTATTTTGCTATTGCTTTATGTTTATGGGTTATTGCTTAGCTTAGACACTTGTTTAGCTTTGTCAATTGCTTTTGGTTTGTTTATTTCATTTGCATTTTAGTTCCTTTCGTTTTCATTTCATTTAGGTTGTTAGTTTAAAACCAATCCTATATTTGCTTAGATTAAGAAATTTTGTGTATTCTTAGTGTATTAGATCTCTAGTTCCCTGTGGATTCGACCCTTAAGTGCTATAAACGATAACCATTAGATTGTGGTTTTTGGACCTTGAGGAAATATTAATTGATAGAAAAACCTCTTAATCAAGTACGGTGGGACTAATCATGCACATCAGATCAAAGTCTTTGTCTGTTGAAGAAGAATATGAAGATGAGTTCGATGAAACAGGGAGAAATGAATCACTTTTCTGCACCATGGTTTTCTTGAGAAAGATTCAAGAGTTAGGAGATGGGAAAATAAGTGAAAGAAGATTAAAAAAAAGGTGAATAAAAGGAAGACTCTGTTATTGTAACCAAAAAGTAAAGAAACAAATGTTGCCGTTTCAATTCAAAGTGAGTTGGGTTGTTTTCTAAACATAGAAGTCAAGTATTCAGAGATTTTCCAATACAGATGTTTTTTGTTATTCAAAAGCAACGTGGTTTCATTGACATTAGCTCAATAACAGAGCAGTAAAAGAGCATCTCCAATGGGAAGTTCTTATGAAACTCTCTCAATTTTTTTAATATAAATATTTTGAAAATGTGAGATGAGAACTTTTGTTTTTTTTTTTTCTAATTTTTCATATTTCAATGGTAGGTTCTTTTGTGAGATTCTCTTAGAAAAAAAAAATTATTAAAAATTATAATATTTTATAAAACTGTATAATTATTGCAATCCATAAAATATCAAACATACATGCTATAAAAACATTTTAAAATAGATGTGCAAAAAAAAATAAAGTTTGTCAAATGCAAAACATAGATTCATGATCTACACATATTTTGATTTGAGTGACTATAAAACAGAGATTCAAGACAGAGATTTGGTGTTGAAGTGTTGATAAACACATTCAAGACAACGATTTGGATTCTTTTGTTTTTCTTTGTTACGTCAAGACACTCGGGAAAACAGATGCAGGCCCGGCCTAAGTGGATAGGGCAAGAGTGCAAGGGCCTAAGACCATATGCAATAGTGGGTCTTTGGCCCGTCCTACATGATTTAATTTTAAAAATTAAATAAAAAAAACAAAAAAAAACTGGAGGACGACTCTTTAAACGGGACGTCCTTGTAGCTTCTCTCTTCTCTATTTGTGGGCCCCACTGACATGTGGCGGCCAGCGATTGGTTATCTTTTTTTTTTTATTCTAAAAATATTAATAAAAAACTACCTAAGGACAATTTGGTGTCCCTCACCATTGCATATGGTCTAAGGTTCATTTCTCTTTCAACAAATTTTCTTATATAAAAAGGCCTAATATTTATTAAAAAGAATATAAGAAGGCCCAAAAAAAAATAATATGAATCCAGAGGCCAAATTTTTTTTTTGCTCTAAGGCTATTATAAATATTGGGCCGGGGCTGAACAAATGAATGTAGAAACATAAATCAAACAACAAAAGTAAACAAGTGAAAAAACTGCACATTTGAACACTTTCTATGGTTATCAAGACCCTTTTTTGCTGCCTTGGTTATGAACAAGTTATAAAATTTTCATCTTCACTGAAGCCGCATGAGTGAAGATGGTGCATCTTCTTGGTGTTGAGAGTTGTCTATAGAGGTGGATTTTCTTCTTCAAATGTATTGTTCTTGCTAACCCCCAAATATCGAGAGAGTTGAATCTCTTGTCATAGATCGAGTAAACCCAAGATGTATCAAAAGTTCAGAAGCGTTTCTCTAGCTCGAGATGGACAAGTGAAAAAGAGTTGGAAAGAGAAGTATCGTGCTGTTCCATGGATAAATTGTATCTCACCATAGCCGGTCTATGACATAAGCCATTGAAGTGACCACTTAGGACATCATAGAAAACTTCAAAAAAAAATTCTAAATACTGTTAGGCTATGTGCACATTTTGTCCATGTCATATAATATTTGGGGTCTTCAAACACCGAAGAAACAAGGAAGAGACTTGCATAGAAACAAAATCTTTAACATTTTAATTTCATGACGAATTTGCCCTCTAAATTGCAAAAAGACGGTAAAAAGCTCTTTTTGCTTTATTTCCCATTAGAGCATCTCCATCCATCAGACACTGTGTGAGTGTCTCAAAAATATTATTTTAATCAATTTATAATAAATAAGTTATTTATTTAAATTATAAATTATAAAAAAAGAATTTGGCCAATAATAAAAAGACAAGTGGAGATACAGTTTCTCAAAGTTTCTCAAACCAGAAACTATGTCTACACTCTCTCTTGCTTTTTATATTATTTTCTATTTTTTTAATCTTGAGACATTCCTCCAAAAATTACTGTTGGAGATGCTCTTATGCTGCTAACACCAATGCCCTGGGCTTATTATTGTTGTTGCTACGTATTGGCCTTGCAATTATAAACAAAAATTTATTCTTTTTTTTTAACTACTCTTCTTGTTATAATTTCTGATTTTATTTCTCTTTTGAAAAGACAATTACATGAAAAAAGAATGGTGGTAATAATTGCCTACAACAAGACATTCCCGTTAGTTAAACGGTTTAACTTAAACCAGATCAATAAATCAACATTACCATGAGAGTGTGTCTTGCAGCAGTCACACAAAGAAAGGGTCTCCATCTATCGAGGGCGAAGATGACATTTTGCGCAGCAAGCGTCACGAATCACTCTATCAAGCTTCATGAATATTAAAATGTTTTTTATTTGATAAACTATTAAAATGTTATATGTTAATTATCAAAGTTAAAACTACTAAAATCTCCTATTTTATTTTCATGTAAACGTATTATCTTACATGCAAACATATATTGAAGTTTCCCGACGGTACAAATAAAAAATGTTATTTTAGTTACGCATATTGTTTTTATCACCTTCTCTACTCAAATTAAAGTACGTATTATCAAATATTCATCAAATTAATGTTTATATAGGATTGAAGGAAAGCCAGAAGACGTACTGAACCCAAAAAAGAAGCAACTAGAGAAGATAACACCGGTATGTGTTTTATGCCCTTCATTAGGTTCCAAACTTAAACAACCACATATGCGAGTACTGTGTTTGCATTATTATACATAAACATTCAATCTCACGGGGACTTTGGTTAATCACACGCATTTGCAGGGTCTCTACACTGATGAGAATGGCGTAGCCACATACAAAGGCATACCATTCATGACCTCGGCTGGACCTTGCACTTCCAGTATCCCCAAGGCTACCATCAAGTAGTAAACTCAGTTGATACTTCTCCTCTTCGCTAGCGTTTTGCTTTGTTATTCGCAAACTCAGTTGGAAAAAGAAAAAGATGTTTATTTTTGTCACATTTTGAATTAATTTATAACTTTGTTCGTATAAGCTTTTTGACAAACAACGTTGTTTCAATCTCCGTTTTGATAGCTCTCTGCTAAACTAGATTTTGGTTTAACTTAGTTCCAATTTCTTTGTCCTTTGGCTCAAGTAGTGCAAGTCCACCATTGCATGGTTTGCAACGTATTACCTACAAATATCCACTTAGCTACTTGTGGGGTTTCAATCAGATAAACCAAACCAGTCACTCTGGATTGTGATTCTTAGATGATCTTACAAGGAAGGAGGATAAAGAATCTTAGACATGGCCCATGAGGATCTATAAGAGAGATTGGTGGTCCATTTGTGACAAAAATCATTATTAATTTTTCCTGTTTCCATTTATTCCAAGGATTTGAACCCAAAAAAAAAATTGGGAAATAAAATAATTAAAAAGGTGTATTATATCTAAAGATTTATCTTATCAGCTTACAAGATCCTGAGCAGATCCGTACGACTGTCACTGGACACATATGTTTCTTTATTCAGTTTCTCAAAGAATCAGTCCTCCATAGCAAAACACACAACTTCTTTCTTATATTAAACACACACAAAATCTTTATTCTTGTCTCCAAAAAAATTATGATCTTTTTTGAGGTTCTTTAGCTTTTATTATACGATTCCAAATCATATAAGGAATCACACCTCTTCATGTAGCGGCTTTGAACGGACACATAGAGACGGTGCAGTTGCTCTTGGATTTGGGAGCTTCGGTTACTCAGGTCACAGTGGAAGATGGAACCACAATAGATCTTATAGGTTATTATCATTTTCCCCAATTGATTAACTTTGATAATGAATGGAGAGATTCTTTTAAGTGAAAGACTTAGTTTTGTTTTTCGCTCTGGCTCTTTGGTTTTGTATATTGAAGGTGCTGGGAGTACAGCTCTTCATTATGCTTCATGTGGCGGAAACACGCAGTGTTGCCAGGTATACATGCTTAACTAGACAATCATGATGCCGAACAATTCGATTTTTCTTTTTCAAAAAGTTTTGCTTCTGTTATGTTTCGTTTAAAGTTCAGATATGAATTCATTTGGCATTTGTTTTTCTCAGCTTTTGATCAGTAAGGGTGCTTGTTTAGCTGCCGTAAACTCCAACGGGTATTAGATCTCTCTATTCCTCTGCCTGCTAAATCCAATCCAACAGTTTGATATAGACCTCAATGTCTTAGTTCGCTTCATGTTTTTGGTTTTAGATGGACGCCATTGATGGTTGCTCGTTCATGGCACCGGAACTGGCTGGAAGAAATCCTGAACCCAACCACAGAACAACCACAACTCCATTTGCCAAATGTCCCCTCTCCTTTCCTCTGCCTTCCTTTAATGAGCATTGTCAAGATTGCTCAGTATGTAAATCTTTCACCTAACTGAAACACCCTGTATGATCGCTAGAATCTCTGTGGCTGATTGGTCTTTTTTCGTATGTGGATTTCAGAGAATGCGGCTGGCGAGAAAACGATTGTCTCACTCCATGTCGTGACCCTTGTGCCGTTTGTTTGGAAAGAAAATGCACTGTAGCAGCAGATGGTAATGTATCGATTTCCCTATCAAAATTGATCTTGCTTAAAACGTTCAATTGATTGTTGTGTGTGACATAACAGGATGTGCTCATGAGTTCTGCACAAACTGCGCATTATACCTAAGCACCACAAACATAACATCATCAAAGACATCACAAGCCACCCCAGGCTCTGTCCCATGTCCTCTCTGTCGCAACGGCATTGTATCTTTCACCAAACTTCCCCATACAATAACAGCAACAACAACAACATCATCAAGAACAAGCATCTCCTTGTCCTTTTGCACTTGCTCCTCTGATGTCTTAGACACAGCTCTCCTCACTAACCCTCATTACAGTTGTAGACCGGTTGTGTCAAGAACCGGTACTCGAATTCCACAATCTGCTAGATCATCATCGTTTCGGTCTCTTAGCTGCCGGCGGTTTCCTCCAAGTCTCTGCCTTGGTGGCTCAGATGTTGATGAACCGCAAAGCCGGTTAATGGGTGGATCATATTCAAGATCCGGTGTAGGATTAAGGCGATCGACGTCTCAGGTTTTGCTTTTTGCTTTATTTCCCATTAGAGCATCTCCATCCATCAGACACTGTGTGAGTGTCTCAAAAATATTATTTTAATCAATTTATAATAAATAAATTATTTATTTAAATTATAAATTATAAAAAAAGAATTTGGCCAATAATAAGAAGACAAGTGGAGATACAGTTTCTCAAAGTTTCTCAAACCAGAAACTATGTCTACACTCTCTTGCTTTTTATATTATTTTCTATTTTTTTAATCTTGAGATATTCCTCCAAAAATTACTGTTGGAGATGCTTTTATGCTCCTAACACCAATGCCCTGGGCTTATTATTGTTGTTGCTACGTATTGGCCTTGCAATTATAGACAAAAATTCATTCTTTTTTTTTTACTACTCTTCTTGTTATAATTTCTGATTTTAATTCTCTTTTGAAAAGACAATTACATGAAAAAAGAATGGTGGTAATAATTGCCTACAACAAGACATTCCCGTTAGTTAAACGGTTTAACTTAAACCAGATCAATAAATCAACATTACCATGAGAGTGTGTCTTGCAGCAGTCACACAAAGAAAGGGTCTCCATGTATCGAGGGCGAAGATGACATTTTGCGCAGCAAGCGTCACGAATCACTCTATCAAGCTTCATGAATATTAAAATGTTTTTTATTTGATAAACTATTAAAATGTTATATGTTAATTATCAAAGTTAAAACTACTAAAATCTCCTATTTTATTTTCATGTAAACGTATTATCTTACATGCAAACATATATTGAAGTTTCCCGACGGTACAAATAAAAAATGTTATTTTAGTTACGCATATTGTTTTTATCACCTTCTCTACTCAAATTAAAGTACGTATTATCAAATATTCATCGAATAAATGTTGAACTTTATTTCCTATAAATACACATGCCCAGGGAAATTGGCTTACAAACCATCAACCACATCTCATGAGAAAAATACAATTATATGCACCAACAATTTGCAAGAATGCATTCAACATATGTGATTACACACTGAAAAAAAAAAGAAAGTAGATCTCACATTTTCTTCGCTTGTTCTTTCTCATCTGAAGTCTCGTCTTCTTTTTTCACCAACTAAGACATCTCTCCTGCAGCTTTGTTTGAAGAAATCGTCGTCTTGGTACGTTCCTCTTCGGGAAACGCGAAACTCAAAACTATATGTAAGCTCATATATCTTTCAAGCTGTTGTTTATTGTTTGTGGGGAGAGGGAAACTCGAGGCTCCATTCCTCTGGTTCTAACCCACGTTCCTCAAGTCATAGTAAAGGAGATTCAACTCATACTTAGAGCAAAGCTCGCATGTCTTGATAGGAGACTAATTCAACATCTAAACAGTTCTTCCTCCACGTAACGTACGGTTCCTCACAATTACGAATCCTTCCTTGCTAATTGGTTCAGATTCATTCAAGGCTAATCCAACCTCCGTGTTTCACTATGGTCACTATTTATTGCTTCACATGAGTTTCAAAAATCTACTATTTTCTGCTTTATTTAATTCCATCTTTGTATTTCGAATGTAGTCTTTTAAACGATGCCTCTTTTTGGGGAAGATTAATAAAGCCAAAAAAAAAAAAAACAAGTAGCCAAAAGTTTTTAACAAATAAAAAATATATATATCGAGGATACATCAATACTGTTCCTCCATCACCAACATCGCGATTAGAAAAGGGTAGTCTAAATTTGTATCTTCCCAGACTTCCCCTTCCACAGTTCCACTACCATCACATTATATATCCCAATGCTAGGCAACAAACTCATCAATGAGTTTTCAATTTGTTACAATTTGAACTCTGAAGTGCTTAATGTTATATAGGTTTGCTAATGCAAATGCAATTATACCCATGACGTGACACGACCCACATGCTCCTCCACATTTCATTATTATAGATTTATTTCCGCTAATGTCAATATGTCATGTTACTTTTGGAGATTTGTTAATTGAATTATTCGTTGGCACAAAAAGAAGCTATTTTCATTTAATTATGTATTATAATAAGATTTGTTGTTTTTAAATAAGATTGATTTATTTATATGAAATAAAGGAAAATGCTTGCTTAATGCTTATGGTGATGATTGATGAAGAATGTCTTCCTTTTTTCATAGTGAGAGAATCTTATAATCATAAGATTTTGGTTAAAACAAAACGCGCGAATTCCGGCGATTGGTTTTATCGAACCAGTGGCCACACCATTCTCCTCCTCTTTGGCTGTCTTTTTTTTTTTTCTTCAAATAATTAAAGTCAATTAATTAGAGTCACCAAATATTAATTAGAGTCACCATCACAAAATATTAAGAGATCCTCCACACACACAAAAAAAAAAAAAAAAAATTAGAAAGATCCATTCTTTTTTCCTTATTTAGTTCAAAATAAATTAATCACTAATTTGTTGTTTTTTATTAATCATTTTCCTTTTTTTAATACTTTAGTTTCTCCATTCTTTAATCTTCGTCTAGATTACCATTTTCAGAGATGTTCTCTGGATGATCCTTCCTCTAAAGTTTAAAGCTTTTTTTTGGTCAATTCTTTTAAAGTTTTGATTTTCTTTGGGGTAAATTCTTTAAAGTCTCTTCTTTCTAAAAGCGGGATCATTATGATGATGATCTGTACATAAGAGAATTAAAGAACAACAACAACAAAAACAGAGGAAAAAAGAACCCAACTTTTTCTTGTTGCAATCATTCGAATTAAATTCAATTCTTTGAATTGGGTATCTGAGACTCTGATTCCTCGTCCGAGCTGATTCTCGAATTGGGTTTGCTGCAAATAGATAATCAAATAGATTTTTTCGTGTTGTTGTTGTGTTGATTTCGATCATGGTGGTGACGATTGCTTAGGGTTCATCTTGAATTTGTCGATAAGCCGATCAAAATTTCAGCTTTGTATCGTAAAACGATGAGGTTTCTAAGCCTCGTCGGAAACTCATTCGGTTGTTCTGCGTCCGGCGAACGCTTAGTGTCAGCGGCCAGAGACGGCGATTTACAGGAAGCCAAAGCTCTCTTAGATTACAACCCAAGACTCGCTCGTTACTCTACTTTTGGCGTTCGTAACTCTCCTCTTCATTACTCCGCCGCTCAAGGCCACCACGAGGTAACTCTAATTACTTTAAAGATCAGTACTTTGTAAGATTAGAGATTCTAAAGTTCTGACTTTTATGGTGATGGTGATGATCCTGATTTTGGGTTTTGTTTATCTTCAGATAGTTTCTCTGTTGGTGGAATCAGGAGTTGATATTAATCTCCGGAACTACCGTGGACAGGTCTGTTGTGATTTAGTGTCCTTTTTGTTTCTTTGCATTATTGATTGATTTAATGTAATCTGAATTACAAGATTTTTTGGAAACAGACGGCTTTGATGCAAGCTTGTCAACATGGTCATTGGGAGGTTGTTTTGATTCTGATTCTCTTTGGTGCTAATGTAAGACTTTGATCAACTTTAAAATTGTGATTTCTGACTGATTGTGATTTAAAAATATCTCAGGGGTTGGGACAATGATTGTGTTTCTTGATTGTTCGGGTTTTAGATTCACAGATCAGATTACTTAAATGGCGGTACTGCTCTACACCTTGCGGCTTTAAATGGTCATCCTCGGTGTATCAGGATCTTGCTTTCGGAGTATATACCAAGTGTTCCTAATTGCTGGAGCCTATTGAAGAATAAGAAATCTTCAGTTGCTGGATTTGATCCAAGGTAAAACATGTTTTTGTAAAAGAGTTAAGGTAATGCTTTATAGTCACTTGATGATTAGTTTGAATGTGTTGTGTAGTGTTCTTCACGAAGTGATCAACAGAGCAGCAGATGGAGGAATCACACCTCTTCATGTAGCGGCTTTGAACGGACACATAGAGACGGTGCAGTTGCTCTTGGATTTGGGAGCTTCGGTTACTCAGGTCACAGTGGAAGATGGAACCACAATAGATCTTATAGGTTATTATCATTTTCCCCAATTGATTAACTTTGATAATGAATGGAGAGATTCTTTTAAGTGAAAGACTTAGTTTTGTTTTTCGCTCTGGCTCTTTGGTTTTGTATATTGAAGGTGCTGGGAGTACAGCTCTTCATTATGCTTCATGTGGCGGAAACACGCAGTGTTGCCAGGTATACATGCTTAACTAGACAATCATGATGCCGAACAATTCGATTTTTCTTTTTCAAAAAGTTTTGCTTCTGTTATGTTTCGTTTAAAGTTCAGATATGAATTCATTTGGCATTTGTTTTTCTCAGCTTTTGATCAGTAAGGGTGCTTGTTTAGCTGCCGTAAACTCCAACGGGTATTAGATCTCTCTATTCCTCTGCCTGCTAAATCCAATCCAACAGTTTGATATAGACCTCAATGTCTTAGTTCGCTTCATGTTTTTGGTTTTAGATGGACGCCATTGATGGTTGCTCGTTCATGGCACCGGAACTGGCTGGAAGAAATCCTGAACCCAACCACAGAACAACCACAACTCCATTTGCCAAATGTCCCCTCTCCTTTCCTCTGCCTTCCTTTAATGAGCATTGTCAAGATTGCTCAGTATGTAAATCTTTCACCTAACTGAAACACCCTGTATGATCGCTAGAATCTCTGTGGCTGATTGGTCTTTTTTCGTATGTGGATTTCAGAGAATGCGGCTGGCGAGAAAACGATTGTCTCACTCCATGTCGTGACCCTTGTGCCGTTTGTTTGGAAAGAAAATGCACTGTAGCAGCAGATGGTAATGTATCGATTTCCCTATCAAAATTGATCTTGCTTAAAACGTTCAATTGATTGTTGTGTGTGACATAACAGGATGTGCTCATGAGTTCTGCACAAACTGCGCATTATACCTAAGCACCACAAACATAACATCATCAAAGACATCACAAGCCACCCCAGGCTCTGTCCCATGTCCTCTCTGTCGCAACGGCATTGTATCTTTCACCAAACTTCCCCATACAATAACAGCAACAACAACAACATCATCAAGAACAAGCATCTCCTTGTCCTTTTGCACTTGCTCCTCTGATGTCTTAGACACAGCTCTCCTCACTAACCCTCATTACAGTTGTAGACCGGTTGTGTCAAGAACCGGTACTCGAATTCCACAATCTGCTAGATCATCATCGTTTCGGTCTCTTAGCTGCCGGCGGTTTCCTCCAAGTCTCTGCCTTGGTGGCTCAGATGTTGATGAACCGCAAAGCCGGTTAATGGGTGGATCATATTCAAGATCCGGTGTAGGATTCAGGCGATCGACGTCTCAGGTTGAAGGGAAACGTTCTTGGTTTTCTGCACTTAACCATTGTGTTACAACCGGTGGAAGTGCTTGCTAACTCAAAACGATCGTCGTTTTTTGTTCCCAGTTTTTTTGGGATAAAAAAATGTGCTAATTGATTCTGTGAATGGTGTGGTGATTATTCATTTTGTAATAAAAATAATTAAATTGGCGTTGCCATTACATTGAAATGGTGTATATAAAAATTATGTTTGAGAGTGAATTTCTTGCGTAGTATCATGAACAATAACATCTTTAAGCTATCATCACTTTAATAACTTATCAAACACTTAACAAATAAACAAAGATTACATATATATTTAGATAGACTTTGAGAGCAACTAATTGAGAAACTATGGGATTAATAATGAATTTTACATAAAGCTCAGAAGGAATAGAAACAACAAACCAATACAAAATAAAATATAAAAATGAAGAGAAGATAAAAGAAAATAAATGAACAATACAAAACTAATAAGCCTTGCAAGGTCAAGAAAAATCTTCTAAAATATAGAAGAACTTTCTATTGATGATTTAGTACAAACAAAACTATTTTTATGAAAAAAAAAAGAATTAAAAAAAAAAAAGCTCAGCAAGGATAATGCCAATGGAACACTAATGTCCAAGAAATCTTCTTCTCCCTGAGATACTCACACGTTCGAAAGTACAACCATGATGTAAAGGAGAAGGTTGAAAGAGGGGAACGATCATCATTATGATCATAAATATCATCATGAGCATTATGATGATGATCATGATCATGATAATCAAGAAGAAGAGGAATGATACGATGCTTTTGCTCTGAAGTGATGATGTGAGAGGGCAGGTGAAGTTTGTGTTTTATATAGGGAAATAAAAGGATGAAATTAATGGAAGCTAGACCTCTATTTAATACTCCATTAATAACAAAACATTAATGGAAGCCAGAGAAATCGTAAAACAAAACTCACATTAATAACAATATCTTTATAATTTACACATTTACCAAAAGATTGTATAAACAATTATTCACGAGTCAAGGTGCGTAAATTCCAAATCTAATTATAAATATCTATTAATCTACTTTTACACGTTACATTGGAAAGTCTTGTGATTTATTCTACTAATAGTCAGAGAGTCAAACGAAAGAAAAAAATCCCAAAAAATACGAGTGCCCATACAAAACGATAGCTGAAATTACACGTTAAACGAATTTCGAGTTGATAAGCACTCTAAAATCGTAAAGACTGTGTTTTAATTTGGGTAACCAAGCATGTATATATCATATATGCTCTAAATTTTTAGTAGAAAATGGAGAAAAATCACATATAGTTATGCTCCGCATTTAACACGATACGTGCGCAAAAATCGAACAAGTCTAACTTTTAAGAGGTTTAGAACTGACATTTCAAGCAAAAAAAATGGTTTCTTGAGAAAAAGTTTGGCTCGCTTTTCTTATCAAGATTTGCCTCGGTTTTAAGATCTTACTTTTAGCCGAGACTGTTGGTCTCTGTCACACTTTTTACCGTCTGAATTACAAAATTTGGGGGGAATCAATTTAGCTCTCTCCTTTTTTTTTTACCTTTAAAATTTCCTCTGTCCTCTTTCTAATTTTGACGTATCATTTAAGAAAATTAGGGTTTCCCATTTTCAGAAAAAAGAAGTCAAGAGAAAAATTCAAAATTGAAATAGCCAAGCAATAATAGTCAATATTTTTATATAAAGGCATAAAGCTAGACAGGAGATTCATTGGGTTTTTGTTATGTCCTTTCTCTACCGTCTCTCGTACGTGTAATAAAATTAATTATCAATACAAAATGCTCACCTTGCTCTCTCTTTTAATTTGGATATCAAACATATCAAATCACCTCCAAACTCAAAGCAAAAATGATGACAACAAGATTTTTTCTCAATGGACATGTATATAGTTTTAGTTGAAAACACACGTATAATTAGACAACTTACTATATATAATGTATTCCCTCCGTATTTGAATAAATGTCGTTCTAGCCTTTTTTCTGTGTTTTTAATTAGTTGTCATTTTAACAACTTTTGCATAAAATTTCCTAAATTACCCCCAATTAATTGATCATAATTAATCAGTCTAAATTACCAAAACTACATATACCAAAAATATAATTGTAAATAATCGTTTCTCATAAGGTTCGTTTTGTAATTCTGTGCCCTTTCTTAATTCACCCAAAAACATTTGAAACGACATTTTTTCAAATACAGAGAGTAATGAATTTGGTTAAGACAATCTCGGAATCTTCAACTAAAACAAGATGATATATTTTAAAAAAGGGAAATTGGAAAAAAAGGATATCTACTAAAATTTTTGTCCATATATACATTTTTGGTGAAATTGTCACTTTGGACCAAATTACCACTACACCCTATTTTAAGCATTTTTAAAAATAATTAATCACAAGAATAGGTAGATATACAAAAGTAGAGATGATTTGAAGTGAAAATTTTTAGATTTGATTAGAAAAAAATTGATTTTTTGATAGATAAAGTTTCTTCTAATTTTGTTATAACATGTTTTCTAGAGTTCTGCGAAAGTCAGAGTGTGTATTCTACATTTTTATACATGTTCTACAAATTTTAGACTAGTTTTCTGTTCTAAAAATTTTAGAAGTCCGAAAATCATATATCTAAAATATTTAGAACATGCATTCTACGCTCTACTCTATGTTCTAAATCTTTTTGAATACCTATTCTACTAATTACTACATCTTCTGCCATCGTTAGAATTTGTAATTTTCTTTTAGAATGTAAATTCTACTATATTGTAGATTTGGTTTTCTGAAAATTTTAGAATTTTCTAAATATAGAAAGTAAATTTTCAGAAAAGAAAGTAAATATTTATTATAGATTACGTTTTAAATGGATATTAATTGTTTAGATTATGATCTACATAATTCAGAAATCGTTATCTATATTTTTTAGAAAAAGTTAAAACCAAAACGTTTCTAAACCCTAAGCTAAGCCATCACTTTTGATTTCAAAATGTATGTAATTAACCAACTAGCCCAAAACAACTTAAACTGTGTTACAACATTTTCAATACAGTTAATTCCACATATTATCTCCTAAATAATGAAATCTTACAACTTACAATCCAACATAAATAGAAAAAAGAGAGGTTCAATTAACACTAAAAATGGAAAATATTATATCAAGAAGGACGATCTACCTAATTTACGATTGTTGTTACTTGTTACTGACTTACTGTACCTAGTATTGTCAAGTCTTGGAACCGTTCTTGTTCTTGAAGCATTAGGATTAGCTCTAACATGACCCACCATTGAAACCGGAAGTGCTTCTTCTTCATAAGCTCTTCTCTCCATCTCCTCTCTCATCGTTTTCTTCTTCCCTTTCACTACCATCGCCACCACCAATAACCGTAACAGAAACGCTCCAATCATTGACCCAATCACACTCCCAACCGCCAATTTCCCTCCGCCACCGTCATTCACCGCCGGAGATGACGGCGGCGTTACCAACGTACTACCACGACCACTACTATCATGAGCTCTAATCACCAGCACATAATGCCCTTGTCTTGTTCCCAAGAAAACGGAGGCTGAAACTTGCTCCCTAAACGTTATGTTACCGTTACTTGTGAAGCAAGCACACAAGAGAGATGAGTTCTTCTTTGTGTTAGGTTTAGGGCTCCCACTTGCCACGCTATTCAAGAACTTGATCAAAATAGAGTTTTGTTCTGTGCCCATTATATTAATCTCATAAGGATTCACAGCCACACCATACGGGTTTGAATTGTAAGCCAATAAACCAAGAACTGGAGATACGAGCCCGTAATTATAACCGGTTTTGACTTTTTAGATTTGTATTTAATTTTTGTAAATAAATTAGGAAGTTTTATTTTTTAAATCAATTTTGAATTAATTTTGAGAGAAAATGAAGGTAAAGTTGGGTTTTGATTTATAAAAAACCTATTTGACTAATTTATCAAAATAAGGTATATTTGGACAAAAATTTTAGTAGATATCTTATATATCCAATTTTCTCTTTTAAAAAAGGAAAAAACAGTTTGATTGTATTTAATGGCGTTTTTATATGTAAGAGAGGAGAAGAAACAAAAGCTGCAAATGTATAAATAGGTGTAATCATCACAAAACTTTGGGATGTGACAATACATTGCCAAGCTTCTGTCTCTTTCTCTGTTCTTTCTCTCTGATGGAGTAATTCTTAATTATATGCAGAAACAGTGAAACAAAAGTAAGTTTTCGAAATTGAAGAAGGTGTAACATGCATGCATATTTACCAATTCTTCAACGTTCAGATTGTCTAAGTCAAAGAATCTCTTATACCAATATAGAAAGTGGGACACGACGACTTTGATACTCCTCCAAATTTTTTTATCGGGTCAGAAAAATATTAGTCTTTCTATTCATGAAAATTTGATGTTTTAGAGTTTACACATATATTAAAAAATGATTATGATTTAATTATTTAATAATTTTTTTCTTTTTATTAAATATTTTTAATAATATATGAACCAATAGTAATCTAAAACAGTTAATTATTTGTAATCATTACGCATTGAAATCTACGATTTGTTAATATCAATTAATAAAAAATAAAATAAAAAGCCAGAAAATCAATCTTTGTGGAACAGACCTAAAACACTAAAACATCAAACTTTCAGGAACGGAGGGAGTAATTATTATTGTCAACTCGGAAATAAACTTCATTTTTTACTTTTTGCAAAAACTTTGCAATATTATTCATGAATATAAGGAGGTTTGGGAAAATTGCAAAAAAAATATTTGATCTTTGTTACTTCAAACAAAAACGACACACAAACTTAACTAGTTGGGCTTTTACCAAAAACTGCAGGCCCAAAAAAAAACAGAACCGGTCCACTAAGTATTCTTCGACTTCTTCATCTCCGAGAACATCTTTCTTCTAGTTTTTCAGCTTCTTTGATTTTTTTTTCAATCATCTCCTGCTGCAGCTGCTTATGGTCCTGGTCCTTTGCAGGAGCAATCAAAAAGTTTGTGATTCTTTACAACATTTTTATAACGTCAAGGTCACAACCATATTTTAGTCTCTTGCCCTACTTATTGGAGTTTTATGTCAGCCCATATAGGCCCATATTTGTTTAGTGAGTATATATATGTCTTATGATTGGGTTTCCATCTAATTTGAATATATGTATTGTTTTCCAGATTTTAATACAACCCTATCACAATTCATTTATTTGACGAAAAAAAAATCACAATTCATTTATTTATACAAAATTTCTATTTTGGGAGTCTCTCTGGTACAAAGTTTTTCAAAGCTCTCTGCAAATATATCCGTTTATTGCCAATTCCCTTTTAAAGCTTCTCTCTGCAAATGACGTACCAAACAATTTGCTTTATGACTTTGACTAACTGAATAGAGATGGTACAACACACACTCACACAAAACCCACTCTCACACTCAAAGACTCTCACACACACTTACTACATTTTTGAAGATTCTATATAACGCCACAACTTTTTCATTTGTAGAATCCAGACACAAGCAAAGACAAAAAAAAAAAGAAGATGGAATTAGAAAATGGGTTTCCTCCATATCCAGATTTCCTCAAGATCTTTAACTCCCATGAACATGCTCAACGTTTGGTAAGTAACCATCTTTCTCCTTCTCTCTTTATCTTCTCCAAATTACCTCTCTTGTAGATTCTTGAATGATATAAGATTATTTTGATAAGATTATCCTTGAATGGCTTGTTTGTGTGTGTTGTGTTCTTGTTACCTTAGTAGAAGAGTTTCTCTCTTGGCTCTGTTTCTGTTTAACACATAATTTTTTATTCCTCTGTTCTGTTGAACTGTTAGTTTGATTCATCTACTCTTGATCTTTGATTCATCTGTTCCTGTTCTATTCGAGGTCCAAAACTGAACTTTGTTGCCGAAAAGTAATTTTCAATATTAGCATGTCTGGTTCTGTTCCTGATTTCTTAGGAGTTTGGTTCTGTTCCTGATCTCTTAGGATTTGCTATGTTCAGCTTCAAATCTTATTCCTTAATTAATTCTTGATCTCTCTTTGGCTTGGTTTCTTTATCACTAAGTGGAACGTTAAACCTACGTGTGCCATTGTCACTTCTTAGGTAATCCCAAGAGGTTACAACAAGTACTATCCAAACCCTCTTCCTCAGACAGCTGTTCTCAAGAAGCCGGAAGGAAGCTTCTGGAATGTCAAATGGACAATAAGCCAAGAGGAGACTATTCGCTTCCAAGAAGGTTGGGAAAAGTTTGTCAAAGACAATGGTCTTATTGACAGAGACTTTCTCTTATTCACTTATGATGGTTGTCGGAGCTTTTGGGTACGAATCCACCGGAATGGCCTCCCCTTGGAGCCAACCGCTCCTATCAAAATACAAGAAATATCAGATGATGAAGATGATACAATTGGTCATGGTGATCATCATATGGAAGAAGGAGATAGCCATGAGAACATGATCGTTTCTCTCTCTCTCGGAAGCAGCGATGAAGCTGATGACGATGATGATTATGATACAACGATTTGTGAAGTTAACAAAGCTAGTGAAAGTTCCAAGAAAGGTAAACTAGTACTTGTCTAGTTTTGTTTCCACCAAAATGTATTGATGCTAAAATTCTTATTGAGTGATCTTCAGCAGGAAGGCTTGCAAGAAAGCATCGTGCTGATTCTATTGCTGCTTCTATTGATCCGGAAACTTATCTTGATGATCCCAAAAACCCGTTCTTTATTTCAACTTCATCGTGTTCGAGGCGTGTATTGGTATTAAAGCTTTTTGAACTTTATGTTGCTTTGTTGTGTAATAATTTGTATTCATTTTCTTAATCTGTTTTATGTTGGTTGATTCGTAGGTAATTGCTAGGCAAGTAATAAAAGACTATGACTTAAACTTTGACGGCACTATCAAACTCATCGATGGATTCGGGGAATTAACGAGAAAGGTTGGGAAATGGAAAGATCGTGTTGTGGTATACAAGTGGGACGAAATGTTTACGAGAAACAAAGCAAATCAAGGAGACGCAATCATATGTGAGGTTATACGCGAAGAAGATGTTGTTCGCTCCATCAAAGTGCACTTCGTGAAGAATTAAAGTTTATTTATCGTATGTCCTTTAAGTTTATGGATGATGAAACCTTTGTCTCTAGGCTCTTAAGGAAACATTTGTAGTATTTTTTCTCTAGGGTGTATGTTTAGGTTTTGAAGTTGTGAACTTATGATCTTTTAATTTAAGGTTCTATTGCATTTTTAGTAGAAATGAATGGATATGTTAGGAAACTAACTTGCTAGTTTAAGGATTTGCTTTCGAAATAGACCAAGTTACTAAAATAAGATTTGAGCCTTTACTCTTTTACATAAGTTACGTACATACATACTCTTTGGCCCATTATTATTAGGCTATCTTCAGGCCCATTATAATACATAATTTGATGGTTAGTCAACAATAGTGTCTGCTGTCTAGTAATAACTGAAACTTAAACCTTTGTATGTTAATTTCAGTATCTCTTTCTTTTTTTTCTTTTAACATCCGCATTATATAATCTTGTCAATTATACTTTTTGTTTTTCCAATGGACCATTCATTCCTTAGTGTGGTTTTAAAGCTTAGATATTTCGTGAGAGCTTTGAACTAGAAGACAGCTTACTCCTCTATAAGAAATTAAGAAGTTGAGTTGTCCAAATCAAACGCGTCAATAAATTTATAGCGAATCCTCCAATTTTCTTACAAGTTGCCATCTTTTTCACATTTATTGAGCATACATTATTTAATTATTTCACAATTCTCATGCATTCAATAAATCTAAATCTACCCTACTTGATCAAAAAGGTTATGTTTAGTATTATCCAACCACTATATTAAAGTACTAATTATTTTGACATCAGAATATAACAGTTTTTTCTCCTTTATCCCGACGCAAACAAACAATTAACAATTTATAACTTTATACGTTAGATTTCATATATTTTAATTAAAGTAATGAATCTGTGAGACTTTTGCGTCATACCTTTTTGTAGTTGTAACAGGTAAGGCTTCTAAAGGATAAAATAATAATTTAATATTACTAGTTAATAATTTATTATTAACAAAAAGAAAAAAGAGTTCGAGGAAAAGGTCAAAATGCAACAATAATTGCAGAAATTATTTAATTAAATGACGAAACACATGCAATGTTCATCATTCAGTGAACCAAACTTTGTTTTAATTTAATATTTTTTGTTATCTTCCTTAGCTTTCAACTTTTCAAGTGTGTTATCTTTCTTTTTTTGGAAACTTTTTGTTTGCTTTTTCTTTCCATTTTTGTCTTTTTCTCTTACATTTTTTCGTTCTCTATAGAAAAATGCAAAAAAAACTAAGCAATTTGCAGATTTTCTGCCATTTAAAACTGCTTTTACACTTCTTAAATCGAGAAATCAAATGGTCCCCTAATCTAAACGACGACTAAAGAAAATGCAATTGTTTAACTTCTTTAGATTAATCTTGTAAGTGAGAAAAAACATAATATTAACTTTGAATAATCTTTCATTATTTATCTATCAAATAAATATCTATAATCGCTACATAAATCACCCCTCCCGTTACCATATATAAACACAAAAAAGCTAGACTGTGGAGTAAAACAAAAAAGAACTATAAACACCTTTTTTTTTTTTTTACTATTTTTACCCCTAACTGTTTCCCTTTTTCCCCCGCCAAAACCAGTTGAGACATATTTACATCTCTACCCTTCCAGATTCCACCGTAACAACTAAACTCCAATCTCTGTTCTCAACTCATTCATACTGCCAACGTAATACTTGTCGGCAGTAAATCACCGGCGTTTCGTTCACCGGAATCTTCATCTAGCTCGAGTCGAGCAACTGTACGGTCACCGTAAGTACCGGAAGACGACACTCGAGCCTTAAGTTGGCTCAACACCGGAACAATCGCCTTTTCGATCCATTCCTCTAACTCTGTCTGGCCTAACCACACTCCGCTCAAGATTCTCTGAAGTGCCTCTTCCTCGACTTCTATTGATAGCGATTCGCCTATGATTGTTGCGAATCTTTCAGATAATGTTTCTGTGATTTTCCGTCTCACAGCTCCGAAATCAACTGCTCGAAATGCTACCGCATCGTCTACACGGCTGACCATATCGTGGAACGCAAATGGAACGCATTGCAGCGACAACTTTCCGCTAAAGCCTTGCTCTTCTTGATCGTTATCTGTTGTTAGATCGCTTGTATTATGAGAACCATCATCCGTATCAGCAGCTTGGTTCAAATCGAAAGATAAACCCGATCCATGTTCTTTCTTCGGTTTCGTCAGCCTCTCCTCGTCGCTGCACAGCCAACTTGCTCGTCGTTTTCCAAATTTCTCCCGCATGCATAATCTCAAACGCCAGCTTTCGCTAGCCAAATCTCGGAGTTTTGATTCATTGTCTAGGAATGATGTTTTGGTCCCTGCGAAATGCCAGCTCGCTGTCATAACAAATATCACGTTACCTAAACTGATCTCACGGCCGTGCGAGTCACGAATTCTGCCTCTATCCATCGCCTGTTTTATGCTTCCACGCACCAACATATCCGCTTCGTCAATATCTTCAAGCAAGATAACGGAGAACGGACTCCTCTTAACGGTTTCCGCAATCTTATCCAACGCGGTTTTACCACGGAAACTAGGATTCCCATCTGCAGTATCCTGTCTCGACCCGAGCTGAATCATTGTCGGATTCGTCCCATACACAAGTGAAGACAGAGCTGACACCATTTTTCTCTTCCCCAGTCTATCCGGTCCTGAAAACAGTAACCAGACATCTCCCTTTGATAAAACACCGCGTCGTTTCCCATTCCCGAGCTTGCATTGACTAACCGTTGCAGCAACCGCAGCGGCTGCATCATTCTGCCACCAAACTTTCTCGGTCATTCCTTTCAACAGTTTCTTAAACAAATCAATGTCTAACGAATTCCCGAGATTCTCCTTTTGCAAAACACTGATATTATTGTTGTTCTGCACTGATTCAGACGATATGCAGCCGAGAAAGTCTCTCACTTGCACATCTCCAGTTTTCTCCGAATCCTGAAATACGCAAACACAAGTACACCAAATACGTCAGGTTTGTAACTTCGATAAACATTTTCAACACAATATACAGATTGTCAAATCAACAAACCTCTGTTCGTCCAAGAACAAGATCGGTCTGAACCGGGCTCCCGGGAGGACTCTTCTTCTTGGCCTGCTCAGCCACCAAAGGACTCATAGGCTTCAAGTGTACCCTCTCACGCAACTCTCTATTGGGCTGTAACTTAGGCTGCAACGGCTGACGAAGAAGCATGTTAGGACCGTAGGAGCTGGTAGTCAACGTTATAGGAACCGGGATCGGAACAATCCTCTCGTTCTTGTTATGAAAGCTAGGATGAAGACGCACACATGCATCATTCCATTTCTTCTGCACTTCTTCAATCTTTGCCTGCTGTAATAAAAAACATTCCAACCGCAAAAAACATTACGAACTAATAAATCTATGATCTGCAATCATATCATAAAACCATTGCTATTGTCAAAGAAAAGATTCAAAAACCGGAACTTACCGGTAAACGATCAACCGGTTTAGCTTTCAACAGCCACTGTGGCAACTGTTTAGGCTGAGCTACTTCAGATTTAACCTCCGCAGAAGTCACTGAATCAATCTCAGCGAGTTCTCGTTCGTAACTCTGTGAACACTGTGGACAACATTTCAATATCCTATTATTCGCAGGCACAAAGCTCTTCAATGGCGTGAATGATTCCAAATTGTTCGCAAGCCTGAATCAAAACATGAATCTTTCTGAGAGAATTCAAAAAAAGCTGAGATTTTTCTTTAGCAAAGATGAAACTTTGACACAACCCACCTCGGGAAAACTCCAGACGCCGGAGCTTTAGCTGCCACCGACACAGCTTGAAGATCCCAATCAGTCTCCATTGATGGATGATAAACTTGACATCTTAAATAAGTCTCACACGTGGCAGTTCCGATAAACCAGAGTCTTCCTTCAAACTTCTCCAAAAGCTTCCGTAGCTCCGCCACTGCTGTCCTCCCAACCTCCACCGCAAGCGTAGCCGGCGGTTGCGTTGAACTCGGTTGCTCCACTAGCCATTTCAAGTCACCAAGATCAAGAATTACTCCGCCACCAACGCTAGCATCCGAGTTCTTAAATCGGTTCTCAAGCAACCCATCTAATTCCTTAATTCGCAGAGCCTTATCGGAATTGATCTCCTCTAAATGAATCACCTTTGAGTTCTTCACCGCTAAATTCCCAACTTCTCCGACCTCAATTTTATTAAGGATCTCACGAATTACCCGACCCGGCTCCGAATCTCCAACCAAAACCGGGTTTTTCTTCTTCGCCCGACCCAATATATCCATAACCCGCTCAACATCATCGTTCTTACTCACCCCTGATTGCGCCGGCGACGCGTTCTGTTGTAACCGTGGATTAAGATACGAATTCCGGGTCATCGGACCTCCACCACCGGGTCTAAAATTCAACCCGACTGTAGAAACACTAGGAATCGGCGTCGGAGTAGTCGAATTATTCAACGACTGTTCAATTGTAGCTTTAACGGCGGGACTTGAAAAGCTAGCTTCTCTCATAACCCGACTCACACTTGGATCATCCAAAATCGAGATAATGAGCTGTTCAAGCTCAACTTTAACGGCCAACAACGGTTGTTGCTGTTGCTCCGGACATCCACGGCGTTGATGAGCTTGCGCTCGTTTTAACGCCGCCATAAGCGCGTTTGAAATCGGAGGATCGTTCGCCGGAGTCGCTGTTGCTGTTGGGAGACGCTCGAGAGCGACGCTGAAGCAGAGCTCGAGGGCTCGACACTGTAGAGGATGAGATGAATTGGGATGAGATCGGATACAAGCTCGTCGGAGAAACCCAGCCGGAGAAGCTAAAAGAGTGACTGCTACGTGGAGAGGTGTAGTTTGGCCGTGATTACGACGCGCCGCTTCGGCGATTGATTGGTTTAAAACGGTGGCAGCCTCCGGCGTGAGAGTCTGTTGAATCGTACTTAAACCAGCTCTCATCGTTCTTCTTCTACTTCCACTTTTGTGTTATCTCTCTCTCTCTCTCTTTTTCTTCAATTATATGTGGGAATTAAATAATTGGGAAATAAAAATGTGTAAAAATCGAATCTTTTATTAGGCTAAGAAGATGTGAAGGAGAAAAAAAAAAAAAAAAACTGAATCTTTTGAGTTGGGTTCTCAATTATTCAGACAAGTTTATGAACTGGGTTCTGATCGGGAAAAAAAAGGGAAAGAATAAGTATAAGATTTTTGCTTGAACTCATTCAAAGAATATCCCACCGGC